TAATATCTATGCTTAACTTTTTTTTCAACAATACGGCTTGATTTTATTTCAAATGCTCTGTTCTTTCTTAGCTAAAAGAAAACGTTGTGCGGCGAGAATCGGATAAAATTGATGCTGCAACATTGCAAAAATTGGTTCGCAGCATAAAGAATAGTAGATTATAATATAATTAATAGATTAGATTAGAATAGATTAGATTATAATTTAATGTAATTAAATAATAGATTACTGGTCTTTTTGTAGCAACTCTAATCTGTCAACTTTTTTCTCCGAGCCTGAAAATGTAAAAAAAATGCTTTTCATAGATCTCGATAAGCTGCAATACGTATGCTGAAAATTGCATGCTCGGTTGAGAAAGCTAAAAAATGAAAGTCTTTTATTTTCCATTGTCATCTTAAGCAATAGCAAAAATTTTAAAAAGTAGCATTCTAGCTATTGTCCAGTAAGACTGGTCCCTCTAAAAATTCGTGTCACTTAGTCCAGTTCTAGAAACACAGTAAATTCTCTCTAATTGACGCTCAGTTTGTATAGAAAAAGGGACAATTTGGGAAGAGGAGCTACGATTATTCGAGTGTTGCGGCTCGTTTTTATAGTCCTTGACAATCGGTAACTATAATAACGAGAGGCAAGAGACTCGTACAATCGTATTTAGTATTCCCTAATTGTCCATTTTCATGTACAAACTCAGCGTCAACTAGGGAGAATTCACTGTACTGCGTTTTAATAGGCGTCCGAATATTAACGGTAGCCGCTGCAGCGTTTTTTCAATAAAGAACATCGTCGTTCCTATACAAATTTCGTCCACCGTGTATCGTCTCCCTTGCGTCTTCGTCGCGCTCCGTGTCTCGCACCTTTTGACACACTTTCTTCCTTTTTTTCCCCTCTAACCCCATCGATCCTTCGCCGACCGGATCCTCCGACTTGCTCCTCCGACATTCATTTTCTCGCTTCCGAGCCCGCCTTTCATCCTTTATCCCATCTTGCTCGTTAAATTGAGTGCAACCAGGCTTGCGAGCCTCGAGCCCCGAGCCTCGAACCTCGAGCCTCGAGCCGAACAAGATCGCTACGAGCTGCGTCTAATTTCGCGAACGTGCTCGATTAGCTGTCTCGTGGCTCTCCTCGTGCGAGTGTATGTACGCGTTCTGAGTCAATGCGGACACCGACGCCGACGCCGACGCCGCGCGGATAACAGTTACGATACTCCGTTTACCGATCCTAACGAGAGAGTTCCTCGTTACGGCCTGATACCCCTCTCGCTTTACATCTCAATTCTCGACTGCAGGGTGCGGCGGGGCGGGGCCGGGGCGCGACGCAATCAAGACGGGGCCGCGTGTAAAGTTCGACGACGAATGCTCGGACCCCGTTTTGTCGTCCAAGTCTTTCCGGGCGGGCCGATCCTTTCGCAGATTATATGCAGTCCGACGTTTATGGCCGCGCGTTTACGTAGCTCGTTCAACCCTTCGCTGGGAGCGCGGCGCCGGCGACCGTGGGAAATATCGCCGCCCTTCGACCCAGCTCGGCCCTCGCAGATTTGTTTTACGGGCTAAATAAATTCCACGGTTTCGCTCCGAGTCGTTTCGAGTGATAACGCCTCGAATCTTACTGCGAACGGAGCCGGATTTATTAATCGATGCCGGACGAGAATTGGTCTCGTTTCGGCCAGGCGCGATCGTCGATTCTTCGTCGCACTCTAGGCTTAACAGATGACACCCTAGTTTGAACGTGTCTAGGCGTGTAACGAACGATTTTGCCGAGAATGAATTGTCGACGAGTGGAAAGCTATTGTTTTTAGTACTTTGAGCGCGATAATGTAATTTCAAGATCGAAGCGATGCGGAATTTTTCTTGATAATTTTCGTCATAATGATTTTGATATCTACACGGATAATTTTATATTATATCTTGCGTAAACTTAATATAATATTGGGTTGGCAACTAAGTAATTGCCGATTTCAGTTATAGATGTCTATCACTCCCATTTTTATGATATCCGTAAATGTTATATTATAAAATTATTATTATTATTATTACTATTATTATTATTATTATGTTATTTTTTATTATCCGTGAATGTTAGCAACTGGACAAATTGAATGCAGCGGTCAAGGAAAAGCGACCAGAATTGGTCAATCGTAAAGGTGTCATTTTCCACCAGGACAATGCTAGGCCGTACACGTCTTTGTCCTCTCGGCAAAAATTGATGGATATTGGTTGGGAATCGATGTTACACCCACCATATAGTCCTGATCTCGCGCCATCGGATTACCACTTATTTCGATCCCTGGACAACTCCCTTCGTGGTAAAACTTTTAATCATGATGACGCTGTAAAATCTCACTTAACTCAGTTTTTGGCCGAAAAGGATCAGACTTTCTACGAGCGTGGAATTTTCAAGTTGTCAGAGAGATGCCAAAATGTCATCGAGCAAAATGAAAAATACATTACAGATTAAACTTCATTCCAAGTAAAAAAAATTTTTTATTTCATTGAACAAATCGGCAATTACTTAGTTGCCAACATTAAATTTTCATATTTACTAACTATAATATTACAAACTGCATACAGTAATGTCACCCTAACTGACGCTTAGATTGTCCAAATCGTCCACAAAATTGGACAACTTGGGAAGAGGACTATAGTTATTGACAATCGATAACCATAAAAAACGAGCCACAAGGCTCGAACAATCGTATCTCCTCTTCCTAAATTGTAACGTACTGTACCTAATTGTACGAAATTTCTGTGGACAATCTAAGCGTCAATTAGAGAGACATTACTGTATTTCGCAGCATTTCTTGCGTTCGTATCCGACGCGAATAAATCGAAACTCGCGGTTCTCGTTTCTCGTCTTTGTAATCGTTGAGTCGATGATCGACATTTTCGAAAGCTCTGGCTACAATGCAAATGTACAGATCGTCGCAGAATTTATATTCTAATGCACCGTCGTCCATTGCTTCGGTCGAATCCGAATCGAATCATCGATTCGCCAATGAGACGCAGAGTTTCAGAAAATAGCAGTTGCCAATGCCTGGGAAAAAAGAATGTAACATACGATTCTGCAGTAATCTCTCGTTCCGACAAGCACGAATTAACGCGGCGTTGCTTCATGCCTTATCGGGAACGCGATATTTTGCAAAATTTTACGGTGGCCGCGTAAAATTCGCGGCGATCCAGTTCCAAGTGACTGTTAAGCCGGGGGTACGTTTGCTGGAAACAGCGTAACACACGTTTTATTCTTTCGTGAACGATTCCGCCGGATACGGACTGAAACGCGCGAAACGCGATTAAAGTTTTTAATACTTAACTCGTCGCGGATATTTATATGCTATAAATGTTCGAAGTTCCGAGGTCCCGTGATTATAGTTGCTTCGGATTCGGTTTTCCGCAGGAAACCGTGCATTCGGATCTGACAGTTCGAGCTGTTTTATTATGCAATTCAAACTTTGCCCCCCATGAAAGTGTAATGCGAACGTTATTATACTAATAAAATGTTACTTCGCGCTGGAATAATAGAAGGAAACCGGATGAACGTAACTCCTCGGCACTGGCCGGCTAAAAAAAGAATGTTTCGAGCTGGACTGCTTCGAAACAGTATAAAAACACCGTGTTTCGTAAATACATATATGTATGTATCTATGCAAGCACTATGTATATTTGAATTAATTGGCTTATTCGCAGCGAGAAAAGAATTGCAAGGTTAACCTAAATACATGTAAATCGATTCGAAACGAATGTCGAAAGCGTAATTGGGGAGAACGTTGTACGCCGTACATTTTTTACGCTGTCTGTAATAATGATATTATTTGAAATATTATATCGATATTATTATTTTAGACATTATATCAATAATATTATTAATATATCAAATAATATTAATTGAAATATAATATCAATAGTGTAATTAATGCATCAAATAATATTATTTGAAATATATCAAAAATATTACTTGAAATACGATATTGATAATATTATTTGAAATGTGATATCAGTAATATTATTTGAAATATGATATCAAAAATATTACTTCGAGCATGATATCAATAATATTATTTGAAACAGGATATCAGTAATATTACTTGAAATATGATATCAATAATATTACTTGAAACATGATATCAATAATATTACTTGAAATATGATATCGATAATATTACTTGAAACATGATATCATTAATATAATATCAAATATGATATCAGTAATATTATTAGTGCATCGAATAATATTATTTCAAATATTATACCAATAACATTATTAACACGTTCCGTGCCGAGCTTTTTTTACTCGAATCTTCACACTTTGATATTTTACTAAAACTTGATGTATTACGTGCAATTATTAATTCTCGTACACATAACAACATAACAAAAACTTATCAACGCCCATTCTTGCGGTGGAAATTGATTCTTCGGTTCTAAATTTCTTGTAAACAATTTGTTCAGTTCACTAAGTAAACATGCAAGCGTGTACCATCGATGGTACACGTGGCACGGAACGTGTTAATCCATCGAAAAACAATATTATTTCAAATAACATATCAAACAAAGTCATTCCAAATGTGCTCAGGTCCTACCGCAACCAACCCCTTGCCTCAGTTGACATCAGCGTCAACGTTGTCAGAACATTTCAGGCCGTCGAGTAAACAAAAATCTCTGACAATACATATCGATCAACCGAGTAGGCTCGAATCCATCACCGTAGTTATACTTAGCTCACGCAATCTCTTGACCGAACGAACGCAGCGCGGTTCAAACGTATACGTGGGGTGGTGCGGCGCAGCGTTCATCGCGTTGAAGTTTGCACGAAGGTGCTCATATTCGCTCTTCGGCCCTGTTCCATGTTGCATAGGCCCTTGCGCTGGATGCCCCGAGTAACGTAACACCGAAACGAGGTTCTGGAGCCATTAGCCGGCCCGTATCCCGCTATAAATGCCCCGGGACCCCGGCAGGATTCCGAACGGTGCTGATCCCAGCCGACGTAAATCGTCTATGCGACTGTTACAGGTGTACATCGTCGGGCACACGCCGCCAGGTGTGGACGAGCGGGACAGCGGCGCGGCTGCCTTCAGCGAGAGCCACAACAACAGATACCTGCAGCTTGTCCGGCAAAACGCGGACATCATTGGCGGCCAGTTCTTCGGCCACTGGCACTCGGATACATTCCGCGTGGTTTACACCGACGGCGGTACGTCTGACTCTCTCTCTCTCTCCCTCTCTCTCTCTCTCTATTCTTTTCTTGCTCGTAGGCGGTTGAACGCGGTGAATCGACCGAAGCGGTCGGTCGAATCGATGCGCCACCGTTCAGCCTTTTACACTCTGCGGTTCTCTGCCGGCATGCTTCCACCCTCCTTTCCACGTCCTCTCTATCTATCCACCCTCTCCCACGATCTCTCGCCGTACCCCGTCCACTCCGCTTTGCCCGTCTCCGCTGTGTCCCGTACACTTGTAACTTACGTTCGCTTCACGCCACATTTTCCGCGCGCGCTTTTATAGCCGCGCGCGCGGCCCCTCTTACGGGCCTGTCTCGCGGTTTCAACTTAATAACGCGAGGCCGCGTTTTTTCGCGGGACGACGTTTAATCTACCGTCGGAATGAAATCGGAACCGATGTCCGTTCACGGCGAACCACGCGCGCCAGCACCGGAAACCGACAAGTTTGACGGATATCGCGATACACTTGCCGACTACGCTTCTCCCCGCAATAGCTTTTTGTTTCGCTCGCGACTTTGTCATTGGCCGATTGAAACGCAGTCGTTATTTCGCTTCTTTTCTCCCTCGATCTCTTCCCCCCTCGCCTTCATTCTCTTTCTCTTTCTCTCTCTCTCTCTCTGAAGCTTCTCTTTCTTCGTCCCACCGGTTCGTTTTTTCTTCCTTTTTTTTGTGTAGCAGCAGCGATGTACAGCTGGTATTGGCCGAGAACAAACGTGCTCCACTTTCCATACGGAAGTACGGAGGAAAAAATGCGCGCAGCGCGGTGCTTTTATTCAATCCCGGCGTAGACCGCGCGGCGGATACGTGTCGGAATCTCTGAAACGCGTTTGCTTCGCCGGCCGCGCGCCTCGATGCCGCGCCCTTCGCCCGGCATCGACGCTTATTACAGGTCCGAAATTAAAAAAAAAATAACCGAGTTGCAGCCGCGAAAGGGACGGTGCCGAAAGTTGTCTTTGATTCGCGGGACGCGTGTCCCCTCGCCCGAGAACGGGAAGCCGGGCTTCGCAAATTAATGGGCGATGGGTCGCTTCGTTCTTTTCTGCGCGCCACTTTTTCGGAACCCCTTTTTTTTCTGCTGCGGTCGGAATGAAAGAGTTTGTTGGCCGGAGTTCCATTGTTTCGGCCGGAGCGCGGGTCCCAACGCGCGACGTTCCGTTGCCGGAAACCGAGGTTACGAGCTGCAGAAATGCTGTAAAAATAATTACGCGCGCGTAGATGTCCCGGTTTTTCTTGTTTTCCGAATTTCGGCGATCCGGAGATTGAAAACGTGTGCAATGTAATTTTCTGGATAAATTGATGGTTTGCGTTGTTTTTATTACGTTTATCTATCAACGTGCAAGACTTAGGGAGAATTGTTGTATCGTTTACATATCGTCGGAATTTAGTGAATATTTTCCAAATTGATGGCTCCGACGAGTTTAACACTAGATTTACGGAGCATAAAAAACAGCTGTTTTATATTAGTTTGTAAAAGTAACAATGAGACATTCATTCTGATTTTTAACCAGTGTTGTCGTAACATTTTCCCTGAGTAATAAAATTGAACAAATAACTCATAAATGTATTTTTTCGATACGAACAATCGTAAATTAAAAAATCAGTGACCCGCCATTTTGACGGCTTCCGTAAACCTAGCGTCAAAAATCAGAAGGAACGCCTTGCCAAAGATTTTCCCATAAATGAATTATTAACGCGTTTATTTAAACGTATATTGTATAGTAATTAAACATAGTTTCATATCTTCAAAATAAATCCCGAAATATAGTCAAGTTTTAAAACATCAAAGATACGTGACTCGATCAGATAGCGACTGGGTGTCGTGCAGAAAAAAATGTTGAGAACCACCGTTCCAGAACGTCGTTTCCCTCGTTAGAACTCGCCATCTCGCTTTCAAGCATATCGAATTAATTGTTAATTTCATTCCTTCCGCGATAATATCACTTTTTCGTAAAAAAAAGGAAAGAAAAAGAAATATAGGTCATTTCGATCCGGCGCGACAGCGGATGGTTAATATCGTTAAGTGTGCAATTTCATTGGAGTAATGAAGCTTTCGTTACTTGGCGCTAATCTATATAATCGGCGGGAAATTAGATGTGAACGTCGCGCTTGCCGGATATTTAATCGGATTACCGAGGCGCGTCGCGTGTTCATATGGATTTATTGAATCAGTGAAATTCATTTAACGCGATTAGACATCCACGGCGACAATTCGATTGAGCATCGAATAAACTGCGTATCTAATAGACGATAACTCAGGCGATGATAACCTGCCGTGTTCCATGAGGCAACGTGTATAAAGGAAGCGATTATTCGGCAATGGTTAAATCGAAACCGCGAGTGTTTCCTCTCGGAAGACACTCGGATAACCATCGATTTCCCGTGGAACCGTGGGAACCGATATATTTCTTTTGTCGATTATACGACCGACTCCCCGGCGCTCGAGCTCATATATTACCGGAAGATAAATATTCTTTATTCGAAGCATGAGTTATCGGCTGAATCGAAAATCGGTACTGGCTTCTCGGAGCTCGCGTCGCTTTCGCGTCCCGGACTCGCGCACAGAAACATTCCGTAGATTTGCAGTTAGTCACTTGAAATAGCGACAGCGAACGAGGAAACATAAATTTCGCAGGTCTATCGAGCCGCATACTATCAACTTCCATTTATAGAAGTAATCCTTCGGAAACGCCAGGAGCCAAGAACGATAATCAATAAATTCCCCCGTGCGAGCCGTTTAGCGGCGGAATACTTCGCTGCCGTTTCACAGGCACCCTTATTGGTCACGCCACGTGGTTGATGCGCTTTAAAACTGGCCCCGCTTTACGTTCGCGCGCGCCTACGCGCGTATAAAGTGTTTCTTTCTTTTTTTTTCAAAATGATCGACAGACGTTGTGCGCGCGATCTCCGTATTAGGACAACGAAAATAAAGTTTCTGTTCGGGAGGCATTGGAAAAATATCCGAGGCAGTGTTCTCGCTCGAATGACGATCGCGTCGGGGAAACGATGTTGCAAACGATGTTGTTTTTTAAGAGAGCACCGGGAAATATAATTTCGTACGGTAGGAGGCTTCGATTATTCAAGAACCCCGTTTTAGCGGAACTTTTCGGGCATGCTAGTGACCTCGATGCAGGGTATTGGGCTTTTCTCTCGACTTTTCAATCCGACAGGGTGAAAGCACCCTTATAAAAACTGTACGTACAAAGTGAAAATAAATTCGCGGGAATGAAAGCTGAATGGATTTGTTGAATGCTTCGCGGAACTTCGCGCGCGGAATATTCTTCTTTTTTTTGTTTTTTTTTTTACAAGTAAACAAGAGAATCGAAATATCGAGAATCGCAACGCAGGGCGGAATCGATCGGCTTGGCGGAGAAGTAGCGACGATTATATTGTTCCGTTGTTAAGTCTCAAAAATATGGTAGTCGGAGAGAGATCTGTTTCGGAATTTTCTGAACGAGACGCGATAATTCATACAGAATAAATCTATAAAATGTTTTCTAACGAAAGAGGGCAAGTCCTGTGTTCTTTTTTAAATATTCTAATACTAATACTGATAATAAGTCAATAATAATAATAATAATATAATAATATTTTATATTATTAATAATAATATTCTAATAATAATATCATTATTCTAATATTATTTGTTATTATTATTATATATATATATTTATTGTTATTATATTATTATTATTATTCTAATAATACTAATAATAAGTCTATCGTACATGAATTTTAGTATATCGACAATGAATTCCACTTTTCTAACAGCCATTCGAACAATGACCATCGTAAAATGATGAATTCTTCGTTTACTTTTTATTCAAACATTCTGAAAGCTCGCATAATTTGCCTCCTTTCTTTGCAAAATATTTTGTAGATTATTGCGCGTGAACTATTTTATATCTCGACTGAGAACTCTCAAATGCATTTCTTTCCGATTTTCTGTTTTATCGAAAAATCTTTATTTAAGACGTATTGAATTTTTCCATTCAAAAACAAATATAAAATAAAAACGCAACGCTTTCTACTCGATGATCGTAAAGTTGGCGCTAGATTTACGGAATCCGTCAAAACGACGGGTCACTGATTGTTCAATTTACGATTATTCGTATCGTAAGAATACATTTATATAGTTATTTATTCAATTTATACGTTACTCACGGCAAATGTTACAATAACACTTGTTCAAAATCAGAGATCACTGTCTCATCGTTACTTCTCTAACCAAATATAAAACAGCTGTTCTCTGTGGCCCGTAAATCTAGCGTTAATTACGCCCGGAAACGAGCCGAAGCCACGAGCGATTGGTCGTCGGGCCACGGTAACCGGGTCCTGCGACACGTTCGAAAAGATCGGAAGCATCGAACGCGACCGAGGGGTCCCTTAGCAAATCGCCGAAGGGCTCGCGCCGGTAGCAAGCAGATAATAGGAACGTTTGGTTATTGTTTGTGATCATGAAACGACATTCGTGCCGGCAGGTGAGCCGGTATCTTGGATAATGATGGCACCCAGTATATCGCCGAGCACGCCCGGGGGGCCCAACAATCCAGGTTTGAGACTCTACAAGTTCGAGACCAGCACCGGTCAGGTAGGTTGAAACGTGTTCAACGCGCCGCGGCGTCCATAATCCCTGTCCGGCCGCGGCGACGCTCTATTTATGTGACGTCTCGATTGAAAGAGCTGCGAATATATACGAGCCCCCATCCTTGGTTCTGTCGTATTCAGGTCCTGGATTATACGCAGTACTATCTTGATCTGCCGGATGCGAATTTACACGGGAAGGCGAACTGGCGGGTTGAGTACTCTCTCCTCGAGCACTACGGCCTCCACGATATAACTGCGATCAGTCTTCACGACTTGGCCGACCGGCTCACGCAGGTCAATGATAACGCTTTCGTCAGGTACGTAAGGAATCGCGACAAATTTTTGGTGCCCTCGATAAAGGGCAGGAATAACCCATAGCCGCGACGTGGCCGAGATCGTATCGTGGACAAGCCGGTCATCGATCATCTGCGTTTGACTATGCCGAAGTTGGCCCGCGGAAAATCGAATATTAACGCCAATCGATTCAACACCTTGATATAACCAGCCGAACGTCGGATCTCGGTGTTGGGTTACGGTGCTGCGAAGATTTTCAATTACTGTGTTTGGACGAACGCGAGTTACGCGTCGTCGAATTGCAGGAAATTGCGGTTCGTCGGGGAAAGGATAAAGGCTTGTATTAGATGACGAAACGTGTTGACAGAACGATTCTTAAGGAACACGATTTTATACTACTTCTGGTAGTACCCCACTCCTGATACTGATTAATATAGTTATGGTTTACAATCATCGCGGATGATGGGAAAATGGCAACTTGCATAAATTAATTTCTTCATCGTCGAAATTCAGTCTCAGGTCGAGATGCGACAGAAGTCATTTTAAAGAGCAGACTTCAAGCTTTCCAATGGCTTAAGATCGATTAACGTAATGTTAATAGTTGCTCGGTTAGAACAATTTAGAGGTTGACTAATTTTAATGCGATTTTCGCACTCGCGTTTCGTCAGTTTCATTCGTTTTAATTCGTTTTCATTCACTGGATATCCTTTATTTGGGTTTTACCTGTCTATAATTATATTGTTCGATCGATTCTAATTATTATTATCGTCGATCAATTATTATTATTTCCTTTTCAAGAATATGCAACGCTATCTCTCGTTTCACAACCCCCGGACAATTCTGGTCCACGTTCGCGTATACAACGATTCGAGGTCGAACATTCTCTGCAACCGGGCAGGAATAAAAATAACAACAGTACGCGTCTTTACAACTCTGTGCATAACTCACGCAGAAGTGCATCCACTTCCGAAAAGTTCATCAAGACGGCGAGGCTGGGCTGTTACGAACTTTAGCCGGCATTTATTAAAGCGAGTGTCCGGAGACTGGCGGAAGATCATCCCGGCCATTAAACCGAGGCAACATTTCTCCGAACTTTCGGCCGGGTTCCGATGTCGAACAATCTCCTAAAACGCTGGGAGCTCATCGCAGCCCGCGCGACACCGTAAAATGCTTCTCGCGCGCCCTCCGCGCGCCCAGGGAACCTTGAAATATCCGGCGGGCGCGCAAAGCCCCGCTAACAGACGACTGACGCAAATTGCTCGTGACAAAGTTACACAGCTACGCAGCACCTGTACCCGGCGGAACGGTGGCAAAGTGCCCGACACCGTCAGCCCAGCATTTACATGATCCGATGCGGCGATTGCGTGGAACCGGCCCCGCCAAAGCCGCGGCGTCCCATTCGGTTAGTCGAACGACGGATTAATAATTTCCATATTTCCGGAATAATTACCCGTGCGAATGATAACTTCGGCCCTGTCGACCATGATAACTGTCTACCCCTTTCAAGGGAATCGCGCCGTTACGGTGCCGACTGCTCACCTAAATGTCCCGATACGGTCCCAGGCGGGTCGCGCGCCCTCGAAGATATCGCAGAATTGGTCCGCTCGAAGAATACGGTGATAAATTGTTGCAATGTTCCAACCGTGAGAGATATCGCAATGAAATTCTCACGAGAAATAACTGAAAAAATAGTAATTTTCTAGCTGTTATACATAAATACAGGGTATCCCAAAATTATGGTATTTCCGGGAAATTAGAGATTACTCAGGTCATTCGAAGCAACTTTTTCCTTTACAAAAACTTTCTCCGAGGCTTCGTTTACGAGTTATTAACGAAAAACAGTGACCAATGAGAGGCGAGCTCGGATGGCGCGAGGCGGAGCGTACGAAGCTCAGTTCCGCTCACTGGCTCGGCCACCTAGTGCCAGGCGAGCTCGTGCCTCATTGGTCATTGTTTTTCGTTAATAACTCGTAAACGATGCCTCGGAGAAAATTTTTGTAAAGGAAAAAGTTACTTCGAATCACCTCAGGATATGAATCATCTCCTCGTTTCCCGGAAATACCATAATTCTAGGACACCCTGTACAATAATAATATACTATTATTATATACGTCCACACATAATTTACAATATTATACTCACATGTAATAATACAATGGTTCAATGCGGATATTCCTATAACAGCAAATTTTAACAAAACAACGCAGGTTTCAGTATTTCAATGCCTAAAAAAAGTAGTAATCTTGTAGCTATTGATATTTAAATGTTTTATCGCATTTGTCAACACGTCGAGCGCGGCGTCAGCCTCCTGGGCCTGACAGTTCTCTTGGGCTGTCAGTGCATCTTTTTTGTATGTATTTCTATTGTGTATCTCTATCTCTAGTAGTATTGTAGTATCTTTTTTGGGTGACGTCAATACCAGGGACGTCAATTCCCACCTAAACCTATTGTTTAGATAGCATTAGCGCATGCAACTTGTAACAGTATCAAAAATAATGCCAGTCAGCCGCCTCGAGCCCAATAAAATCGGCTCCTCGCTCGACCTGTTAAACAAGAAAATTCAACAATTTCTCATTGCTGTCGATCATCCTCGCACGGCCGCATTTCCTGTTCCTCGCAGATATTACGCGGCGAACACGGTCTTCCTGCCGCGGGAAGTCGAGCAGATTTGGGGCTGCGGCGGCCCTTTGAACGGAGCCTGCGCCCTGCACCACTACTGCACCGTCACCCGGCTGAACCTCGAGTCCTACAAGGAGTGTTACTCGTCGTACGCGTACGCGCTCTCGTCCACGGGGCCGTCCACGGCGCCGTTGCACCTCACGATCCTCCATCTGCTGGTCCTGCTGGCCTGCGCGGAGCTGTACAGGAACCGGTAGGCGACGGCGCGGCCGTCGACGGACGAGGGACAGCTGCGAGCAGGAGCGACACAGCCGATGCACGCTGCATCAGCAACACCTTCGACCCTCTGCCGGCAACCTCGGTCCGCCGGGTCTGTCGAAAGCCGGCGCGACGAAGGGCGCGGCGAGGGCTCGCTGCGAGTTCCAGCTCCAGGATAACCGGTCTATCTTGTCTCTGTGTCTGTCTCTTTGTCTCTACGTCTTCTCTCTAAGCGGGGAAAGGGTGCGCGGGGCTCGGGAACGCGACGCGAAGCGACGCGATGCGATGCGATGCGACGCGACGCGACGCGATGCGCCCTTTCAGCGACCGGGGCGAACACGATCGAACGATCGTTTAATTACCCGGCCCGCGAAATTTCACGGTCCCGAGCGCAATTGGCATCCGGTTTGGTGGCGAGTGGTTTCACGGACGGGGCACGGACGAAGCCGGGGGCGGTCGGCTGCTCGGGGCTTCCGCCGGGGAGACCCCGGTGCGATGACCTCCCGTGACCGCGAAACGGGGGGGAAGGGGGGCAGCCAGGGTCAGAGAGAGAGACCGAAGGTCCTCCGCGACGCGAGTCGGACGGGGATAACAGTCATTGATGTTGTACTTACTTCTCTTAAACGTTCGGTGTACGTTGTTTTAAGACGGGAGATTCATTGTAGCGCGAGTCCAGCGCCGAATTGCCGTTTGGTCGATGGACCACGGCCGACGGAGTGAACACTGTGCATGTCTGTCTCTGTGTGGCTGTGCGTCTGCCGCGTTTTGGCTGTAAGAGCGGCTGCGACCGCGTACGCGATCGCTGGATCCGAGCGGAACGGCGGCATCGACGCCCGGTATTCGCGGGCGCCGATATCAGCGCGAACACGTGTGTCTCTCTCCGTCTTTTTGGTGGACGCCGAGACGCATGCGACGAGAACGTAATAGCTTCGAGAGCCATGATATTCGTACCAACGTTTTGCGATTGTCGGAACAATACAGTATTTCTTAATAAAGGAATCATGGATTTGTACAGAGTCGACCGTTCATTTCGCATTTCCTGGCGCATCCGCGCTTCCAATGTTCCTTCGGCAATGTTGCTTCACTTTTACAGAGGTTAGGATGTTTCCCGAGTATTAGGAAGATTGAAATCTACTAAGTATCCTGAGATTATGGTACTTCCGCGCAGTGATGGGTTCCTGAGATAATTTCAAGTAACTTTTTTCTCGACGAAAATGCGATCCGCGGCTTCGTTTACGAGTTATTAGCGAAAATCGCTGACCAATGAGAGGCGAGCTCGGTTGGCGCGAGGCGGCGCGAAGCAACGAACGCACGAAGCCGAGATCCGCCCACTGCCTCGCGCCAACTGATCCCGCTTTTCATTGGTCACTGTTTTTCGCTAATAACTCGTGAACGACGCCGCGGATTGCATTTTCGCTAAGGAAAAAGTTACTTCAAATGATCTCGGTAACCTCATATTTCCCGGAAATGCCATAATTTTGGGACATCCTGTATTCGTAATTGATGAGACATGGAATGAAAGGTTTGGTGGATAGAAGGGTTCCACTCGAAAATTTAATTCATTGTTAGACCGTGGATTTTGTGCATTTATAACAGAAATTAATAAATATAATTAGAAACAGTGAGATGACCAAAAGAAACTATGAATGTTAATGTTCTTATTTGCGTTCGTTAAAATAATTAAAGAAAGAAATAATCTTGTGCTTGATTTGTTATCTTGCAATTGATGCAGACAAGTTTTATTTTGCACAAAGATCCACAGTCTATTAATTATATTATTTAGATAAATGAAGATAGAAAAGCTCGAGTTACGCGCCAGATTTTTCATTATTTAGGGTACATCGGAATGTAAAAAATATACGTCGTTATTCGGAGCAGACTGGAGTCTAGCAGCGTATCGGGTAAGTGTAATTACGTTATTATGTTCTTTCAATAATATGTGTAAAAAAACTTTTATCTCTTTAATTTATATTTCTATCTTTTGTTAGCTTGTCGTCTGTATTTAGTTCTATCGAACTCAATTAACTTGCTACTAGCAAAATTAAGAACGCATTAAGGAAATTATTAATGCAGAGCACAACTAATTATATTACTGAATCAATTGAGTATATGTTATTAAAATAAACCAAGAGATGCGGCACTTAAAACTTCGACGTTACGTTCGAAAATGGATCGCAATTTCTTCTTCGACCGACAGGGCGAGAACCGTCGAACTTATTACAGTAGCAACTTGAAATCTCTTCGATTGACAGAAAGTGCAATAATGTCAAAAGTTGCACAGTTTTAGCAGATTCGATCAAATATACGAAATTTTGCATAATTAGATTTGTACTTCAAAATTCTCAAAATACACAACGTTACACGACCTTCCTATTCGAACTTCGTTCAGACTACGCTCTATTAACGCGATGCCCTCGCACGAGCGACACTACGTTTTTCACATTGATTTCTTTTTACATTCAATTTATCCCGAGCGCGTTCAATCGAATTCAAATCCGGTAATTAGGGTGCTTTGCATAATTAGTACGGCGCGTTTGCGCGATCACCGGTCCTTAACAATTCAAGCAGTTTACCGAGACCGAAACGTCCGACCGAAACAGAGCCGGGCAAGAAATTAATCGACGACTAACGATTGAATTACTATTGTTAATCGTTAATCGTGATCAACGTTTCATCGACGGCTGACGTTTCATCGCGTTCGTCAATCGATCGATTCAATCGTCGGCTTCTCGACGATTAATGCCGTTAATCGTTTTCATCGAGCATTTAATCAAATTAAATATTTTAATCGATCGACGCTCAACGCTGGACTGAAGATTGTGTAAATGTTTCATTCTCAAAGTATTCATTTTCAAATTTGTCGTACACATAAAACTCGATTGACACGAGATTTACGGAGCCCGTCAAAATGGCGGGTCACTAATTTTTTAATTTACGATCATTCATGTCGTAAAGATACATCCAATTACATCCAATTTATTCAACTGATATGCTACTTACGGAAAATGTTACAATAACGCTTGTTAAAAATCAGAATAAATGTCCCATTGTTATAAAGTAATAATAATAAGTAGTAATAAGTAATAATATAAAAATAAAAATAAATAATAGTAAGTAATAATATAATAATAAAAATAAGTAATAATAAGTAATAATATAATAATAAAAATAAGTAATAGTAAGTAATAATATAATAATAAAAATAAGTAATAATAAGTAATAATATAATAATAAAAATAAGTAATAGTAAGTAATAATATAATAATAAAAATAAGTAATAATAAGTAATAATATAATAATAAAAATAAGTAATAGTAAGTAATAATATAATAATAAAAATAAGTAATAATAAGTAATAATATAATAACAAAAATAAGTAATAATAAGCAATAATATAATAATAAAAATAAGTAATAATAATAATACTATTTTAAAGTAATATAAAACAGCTGTTGTTTCGTGCTCCGTAAATCTAGTGTTAACGAAAGCCGGCCATAATCGACGGCATCGGTTAACCAATTAATTTCACGGAGGATCGAGGCACCCACTTCGCACCCCGAGACACCCAATCCCCAAGATCCGGCGAATATTTTCACCGATCGGATCTTCCAAGACCCGAGCCGATCCGTCGAAACCACCGCTTTCTTCTTTTATACGAACTCCGAAGCAGCGGTAATTAGGTGAGCCGGTTCATCGCGGCTCGTTTTCAGACGCCGATGAGCAGAGTTACTCTGGATCCAGAATTTACTCGGATAACAAGATAGACCGGCGAGAGGTCTCAATTAATTCCGCAGTCGCTATAGTTAGCAGCCTGGCCAACTTCCGTAAACGAGCTCCTGGCCGGCGCACGCGGTGACAGCAAATATGAAGATAAGTCGTTCATTAACACGAAACGGACATTTAGCGGAAAATGCGAGAATTTTGCCGGGGTAATGAGACTCTCTCCGGCTTTACCTCTGCCGGAACCGACCGACTGGGGCAAACGAAGACTTCCTGACCACGGTTGCGACCCGACGTCCTTCCGTAAGTACTGGCATCCCCTATACCGGTGTTGCCGTTTCTCTCGGTAGTTACCACGCTCGGCGATAGGCTAGCGGAACCAGTTACTCTAGGGTAGCCAATTACTGTGCCCTTTCTATATTTTCCAGCGAGGTCCTATTTATCGCGTTGGTCGTAGCAGATTTTTTCGTTTAAATTCAATGAATTATTTATTTGTTGGAGACGCGTGGAAGACGGAAGTTCTTAAAATACCACGAAAATTGCATAATTGGCTTTACATTTATCGTATTGGACGTAGCAAATTTTTCCGTTTAAATTCGATGAATTATTTATTTGCTGGGGAAACGCGTGGAAGACGGGAGCTCTTAAAATACCACGAAAATTACATAATTGACTTTGTATTTATCGTATCGGACGTAGCAAATTTCTCCGATTATATTCGATGAATTATTTATTTGTCGTAACGCGTGGAGGACGGAAGCTCTAAAAATACCAGAAAAATTGCATAATTCGCTTTACATTTATCGTATCAGACCTAGCAAATTTGTTCACTTGAATTCCGTGAATTATTTATTTGTTGAAATTGAACGCGTGAAAGGAAAGACGGAGGCTCTTAAAATACCAGGGAAATTGTTTCAATTTTTCAGATACCGATTTCGCGACATTTTCTGCGAAGCTTATGAAGAAGATTGAAAAAAATATTGAACGAAGGAAGATCGATAAATAAATTAAAATAAATTACAATAAATTTTTTAATTTATTTATTACTTCGGCGATTTACGTGACATTTCTGATGGACTTAAAAGTCGATTTCGACCTCCAAGTCCATCAGAAATGTCACGTAAATCGCCGAAGTCGCGGTCAACAGCGAAATGTCCTAAACACTGCTAACAGGGCACAGTAATCGGCCCTGGTGCCCCGTCGGCGCAACGTGTCGCGAATCGGTCGCGCGGATTTTCAACAGCGAAAAGTCCTAAACATTGCTAACAGGGCACAGTAATCGGCCACTGTGTCCGTCGGCGCAACGTGTCGCGAATCGGTCGCGCGGATTTTCCGCCGCGGCTGTCTTTCTCTATATCCCTGAGCGGCGTCGCGAGAGACCGAAGTGACGCGCCAATAAAATTCCCATCGACGTAAACACTTTTACGTCGCCCGAAATTCCGATATTTCTCAATGACGGCCAAGGGAACCGTGTCGCGGCGCCTCGGCCGACACGTAGAATTCAGAAACCGCACCTCCGGACGTCACCATCTTTCACCGAGCGCGCAGAGTGCCGCGACAGAGGCGAGGGACGAAGACGGGCGGAAACTTCTTCGGAATTGATTTAAACACTCGGAAGACGCGTGTACATTACACATCGCCGGGCCGAGAGAACTTCCGACGATTCAAGTTCGTTTCAATCACTGCTGTTCAATATAAGCTACGGAAGTTAGGAGAACCTGGCTCCGCTCGCGGCACGTCCATTAGCCACCCTGGCCCATTTCCGCGCGACGCCGTTTCAACCGCGCACTCAAGACGAATCGCTTAAAATAACGCCCGGCTGTGTTATGGAGAAACGATCGGGATAAGTGGACCGTCTTTTTGTCCTTCGGTTCGATTGTTAATAACGTTCGTGCTTCGAGCAAACGATTCGCTTCGTGGTGCTCGCCTTTTCAGACATTTCTATGTTCCAAAAATTGTTGAAATTTTGTAGAAATTATTAACGTAGCTCGATTCGTAAATCGTGTGTCCTTAAATCGAAGTTTATTGTGAACTTTAGACAGAAAATTTCAAATGTGCAAGTTAACGTTTATGGCGAAACGCAATGGTCGATGTAGCTTTACTCGATACAATAATGTCTCCCTTACTGACGCTCAGATTGTCCACTAAAATGGATAATTTGGGAAGAGGAGATACGATTATTCGAGCCTTGCAACTCGTTTTTATAGTTGTTGACAATCGATAGCCATAAAAAATGCGCCACAAGGCTCGAAATTCCATTTCTTCCAAAATTATCCATTTTAGTGGACAATC